AAATACAGCTGCTAATAAAAAAAATAATTAACTATAACTTTCAATTTAAATTCATATTTTGCGAATAATGATTCGCTTGTCTCCTCCTTCTGCAAAGCTAGTTCAACTTATGATGTCTAATATTAAGCGTAGTAAAAAGAAATCCATTATTTTTCCACTAGATGGCTTCAGTTATCTATATCCCGCGTTCTATAAGTCTGATCTTGTTACACTAAATAGCATTACAAAGATAAGATTTCGTAGTTTTGACAGTTTTGTAATTGGTTGACTCAGTTTTGTTTGAGAGCGTGTCAAAAATTCTTCTTTGATAAAGGTGAAAACGCAAACTAGGCTGTTAAAAATGTGAATAATGTTTATGGTCCTATAGTCCTGATACTGTAACAGGTAATCATACGCTTTCTTCGATTCCGTTCCGGTAATTTTGATGTCACAGATACACCACTGGAAGGCCAATTTTTGAAGATATCAATAAAATCATAGAAATTGTGGATTCCAACCGTTATTTAAGCACTTTTTTGATTGCCCAAGTTTGCACAAGAAACCGTTTGAAACCATTTAAATAAGGCTGGATAAAAGAAAAAGCTTGATATATGCGTGCCACATGAGTTAATGCAAAAAAAAACGAATGAACCAAAGTTTCATCTGCAAATTGCTGCTAAAAACGTTGTCGTAAGTGATCCATTTTCATCACCAGTCACCAACTGCTGATATACGAGTTCAAAAAGCTTATGAACCGTATTTACATTTGGTGGATCACTTACGACAACGTCAATCGAAAACGATCATGGTCTAATAGAGATGATCCAACTAAAACGGTAGCCTAGCTAATATTGACTTCCAGAAAAGTTTTGATTTGCTTTGTGTTTGGTATGAACTGCTGCCTTTTGGCAAAAGTCTTAACTCGGATCTGAAAAAATGTCCAGTTTTGGGTAATAGAAGAACAATTGTGTTCCATCAGGACAACGTCAGGCCACACATATCGATATCGAGTTTGGTTTGGGTGTTTTTATGCATCCACCTAATAATCCAGACTTGGCACGAAGTGATTACCATCTGTTCCTGTCCCTGGCGAACGATAAATATTTTTTTGTTGGTGAAAAATCCGCTTCAAGAGACGCTCGTTGATAGACCTCTATATAAATATAATACAATAATAAAGCTTGACAGGGTTCCAAAAGGAAAAGACGCTCAGAGGAAGTAAATTAAAAAAATATTTAATTACATTAATGATTTCTTAACATCTAAGAAGAATAGTTGTTAATCAGCAATAATTTCATATGATTAACTTTGTATTCTACCTCTACATAAATAGAATATAATTATAATGCTAGTTAAAGTTCCAAAATGAAAAGGGACTTAGAAGAAGTGGATTAAAAATATATCTAATTATTATATTAATGATTTATTAATATCTAAGAATATTTATTAATATACATATAAATATATATATATATACATATTCATTTTCGATACGGCTAGACAAATAAAATTTAATAAAAAGGTTATCCAAGTTTCCAAAAGAGAAAGTCAGTTAGAGAAAGTGGATTAAGAATTTATTTAATTACATTAATGATTTCATTATATCTAAGGAGGACAATGTTTAATCATTCATTATTATATAATAATAACTTTGTATATATATAAGTTTTTCAATACCTTTAAGGGACATAAGGATCGTAACAAACACATTTTTTGGACACTGTCCAAAAATTACTTAAAAATGTCCAAAAACCACATAATTAACTTTAGCTCAGTTCATTCCTTAATGTTACTTATACGTGTGTTACATGGACGCTTACGTCTTCTTCTGGTTTTCTGTAGAAAAAGTTTTAGATTAGATGTAAAAAAGTTCAGTGTGGTTTTAATAAAAACTTTCTAACAATACTAACTTTTATAAACTAATTGTTTATAATTCGCCTTGATTATTTGAACTTTTAATTACAAAAGAGTTCCATAATTTTAGAAAATATTTTATTTTTTATTCGAAATATCCTTCTCATTTTTTTTTTAATAAGTAAAAAAACAAATTTTATCATTTTGAAATTTATTTTCACATGAAAACAGAAATTTCCACATTGAAACGAAAAGAATTTTAACTTTATCTCAAAGAAAATTGAATAAAATTTTATTCCATTGCAGCAGAAGAACTAATAAAAGAATTTTTGGTTTCTATTTTTCAGTCTCTCCTTCAACCTGTGCAAGTACAAAACTTAGTATTTTATCCTGGACAAGAGTATGGCATCTATGAACGCCCAAATCAGCATGTCAGCAACAGTCACAACAGCAACAACAACAACAATAATAATGCACAACAAAATGCAGCAATAATAACTACTGGAGCTGATAGCAATGCACAACAAGGCATGTCATTCTTCAATTTCCGCCCCATAATCGACAGCATCTTTGAGGTAAATTTCAGATTAAAGTTACTTTACTTTCTCCTTCGAAAATTCAAGTACAGTTTGCTTGTATGCAGGCAAGATAAAGAAAAAAAATTCTTTTCCATTGAGATTGACCGAATTTCCAGTCGGATGGATTTATCTAAAAATGTACTTATGTTTCTCTAATTCTGTTTAAAAAAAGTTGATAAGTTTTACGAAAATCAAGACAGAAAAATGGATTTATGTGAAGTTTTATGTCAAAATTCTTGCTTCAACGCATAATTAGAATTCGAGAGATATTTAACTTTTACTTGTCTTTAAACTTAAAGAAATATTTTATAAAAGTAATATCCAAGTCAGTTGGCTAATTATTCCAACTAAATTGGAATATAGTTAGAATAGTTCGATTGAATTTTAATTTTTGGAAAAATGTTACCAAACAATTACGTTTCTCAATATTCGTTTCGAGTTTTTGATATGACCGATTTTAAAAGGTACTATTGTTCTCGACAAACAAGTCACACCTACTAAAATATTGATCTCTGAAATCTTCATCCATTCATAAAGATAAGTTGATGTCAGTCTTTAGTGATGACTTTGACTTGCAAATTGCGCAAATACCGGGAAACTAGTAAACTAGTCCGCTATGGTCCACTTACAATATAGAACGTGGTATCTCACCTATTCATAAGAGTTTTGCTGAAATGTACACTCTATGTCACCAAAATGTGTGCTTATTCACGGCTTAAGAACGTCCTTAAAAACTTTTAAGGAAAGTTTGACCAATTTGAATTTGACTACAAATCAATTGAGATATCCCGTACATACAGTCGACAACAAATAAAAATACAGAGATAAATTTTATTAAAATACTAGTAAAAAAAAAGTAAGTAAAGAAATAAAAGCACAACAGCACATTAGTTTAATTAGTTATTAATTGACACTGCTCCTATTTGAATAATAAGTTTTGTCCGTATATGACATTTTTTACTATCCCAGGACCAAGCAAAGGGAAAGTTTTTAAATTATTGATATAGTGCCTACAACATATAATCCCGATGCATTTAATGGTTAAGCTGATATAGATATCTGGTTATATGCACATTCCTGGCTTCTGTAAAGTTAAGTGACTTTAATTACAGAATATTTTAAAAGATGAAGATGGTACATATAATCCACTTATCTTACTACACATATGACATGATCAGCATATAACCCAAAGAAAAATAACAACAACTGTTAGGAGGTGTTTGCCCTTCATCGTTCAATACAATCATCGTACTAACATTCCACTATCTTATTGTTAAGCAAGCCAATCGATCACGTTCGGGTCAGATGAAGTCAGATGAGGAAGAAGAAAGTATTACGCATCTGCTCTGTTACTACCCGTCTCTCGACAAAAGAATCATATTAACTTTAGAGCCTCCATTTCTAAAATATCAATCCCATATCAGAAGCATAGACATTACAGACTGCTTACTTCATCAAAGTGACAGTCTGACAGTCATCACTTGGAAGAATTAGCGTGCTATTAAATATTAATATACATCATAGATCTATACATATATATATAAGTTAATGGTTATTTTTATTATTAGTTTCTAGCTCATAGTTATTATTAATTATTTTTTATTAATAGTTATTTATTTATTGATAGTAATTATTATTCATAACCACGTTTTATTATTTTATTACCACGTTTATTTCCTCAAATAATTTCAACAAAGATTTGTATGTGACATGCTTAGTAGCCCAAGTAAAAGTGGACGAGCGCACTTTTGTGGAGTTGAGAGCTACCGAAGCCAAATGGGATTTTTTCAGTCAAACAAGTTGATGTCCTGTTTGGCAGCAACCATGCATTCGAATAATATCGCATGATTACTCCGTTCATGAAACTAAGCACAGTGGCGGTTTCGGGAGACACGTGTGTTAACTTATATATATATTTCTATACATATATATATATATATAGTTATTATAGTATTACAATGAAAACGCAAATCTCAATTATAAGTGAGAAATTTTCTTTTACATAAGAGGACCTGCCATATAAACTTATATACTTGTATATGCCATATATACCTATATATACATATATCTATCTACTTGCATTTTAGCCTAAATAATTGACTTTATAATTCTGTAGAAGTAGTACAAATCTACAATTTAAGAAAAAGATTAAAAGTTTACTCTCAATAACTGCTTTAATCTGCTGTTAATCTGACAGTGTAAACGTAGTGTAAGGGTTTATATTTAAGTTTATAGAGACGGTAGTTAATCAGCATGCAATGGTGGAAATCTTCAGTTTTTTGTGACAAATATAATAAAACAATTGTGAAAAGTGCATTTTAATAATTTTATTAATATATTTCATTTATAAACTTTTGCTTTAAATGATTAAAACTACAATTAAATAATATTAATTTTTTTTGGTAAAATTTGACTCATCGTCGCCATAAGACAAGAAAACGAAAAGGGTTCGAACAGTATTGGAAAAAGAACAACAAACATTTGATTAATTTATTGAAATCATATCACTGATGTTGAGTACTTGGCAATACTCAAAACAGCGTTGTATGGTCAGCCAAATTTCAATAAATTAATCAATTTGTTTTTGTTGTTATCTCATTATAATTCGAACCCTTTTAAAATTAAATAATTTTAATCTTAAGAAACTGCTTATTCACATTGGTGTTGTCAGTTACTACTTAGTTTTATAGACAAGTTTCTGTAATTATTTTGTAGTAAAAAAAGTCTTTCTTTCATTTCAGATTCCAATTTCAACATTACGCGCTGTCAATAATATGGTGGCACGTTTGACGGGCAGCTACCAAGAGTCACCATCAGGAAAATCTGCTGCAGGCCTTGACAAAGGATTTAGTAGTTCAATCGACAATAGTTTGATATTGGAAAATGGCGAAACGTCAAATGCGGAAACAAATACTAAAACGATCAGAAAGTCAATCTTGCGCGAGGAATTGGCGTAATCAGTGCCAACCGGAAGTGGCCAGAGAGAGCAGCTGATTATTCCTACTTGCAAATCCCACATTCTTTAATGTTTATTTTTTTTCAAAAAGTTATTGGTTAGGATTTAATATTTCACAAATTTATTTTTAATATTTTTTTTCACTTTTTCACTTTTCATTTAAAACAAAATTTTATTTCAAAAATTATTTTGTTGTTCCTTAAAGAGAATTTCCTCAAACAACTTAAAGCACTTTTTGAAAATCGTATGTTTGTGTGTTTATATGTTCGTTTATTTGACTTTAAACTTGTTCTAAAGTTTAAAAATATAAAATTAAATAGAAGGTCCTTCGCAGGATAGTATTATTTGTTGGTAAAACAAATATTTCACATGGGAAATGTTCGAGTTTACTTAAAATATTTTTTAATAAATTTTTTTAATTTTCTATTTGCATTTTCATATATGTTTTGTGTGTGTGTTTGCACGTAAATGTAAAATATTTAGTTATAAATTTTTTAACTATTTATGTGATATTATGTATTATATACTATTAATATAAATTTACAAAGATTTTAGCATTTATAATGTATTAGTAATAAGCAATTTTTTGTATGTTTAGTTTGTATATGGAAAAAATTTATATGTTCAAATATAAATTCACAAAAATTTTAAATCCAGCTTTATTTATTTATTTTAAATAATATTGAATTTTATCATTTATATTGTATAGTAAGTATACTTTCCTTCATGTAAGCTTATAGTGCTTGCAAAATTATTTATAAGAAACCTTGAGCATATAATACCTGAGAACAAATTAATTTAATAAAAAATCTTTTCAATTATTTTCCCACAATTTCCTTAGAGTATATAACAAAATTTCATTTCAATTATTTTATTTAAATAAATTAAAATAAAAATCATTGTAAAAAAAAATTCATACCTTGAATTCAATAAGACTTTAACGACCCACAAGAAAGTTGAGAACTACGAAAATATGAGTTCAATAATATTTTTCATACTTCAGTAATTAACAATTATAAATATTATAAGTTATAAATGTTATTTACAATTACATTCAACATTTTGATTTTTCATAGGAAAACCTATCCTTAGCATTATGTTATATGAAAACATGAAAAAAAGATTAAAAAATATGAAAATAGCTACATCAAACGATATGCTCCATCAAGTCCCAGATGGTTAAGATAGCAAAAAACCAATAACAGCCCGTTCCATAAAGAAACACAGCTCAGTTAGGGCTTTTTTTTGACTGACCATACGGCTATTTCGAATTTTGCCAAAGACCCAGCATCAGTAGTCTTGGAGTTATTTTTTGTATTAAATTATTCGTAAATAAATTTTTAAGACTGCAAGTACTATATGTTGAGGTCGTGTCCTGCCAAATTTGAAGCTCAGAGTCAGTGTTCATTACCTAACTAACCCAAAGCCATACTTGACTTATATATTCAAACTTTGAGTTTTGTTCATTTCAAAAGATAAAAATCAAATTATTATTTTACTAAATAATTGACCATCTAATATCAGTGATTTCGCGTAAGAAGTTATAAGTATTTTAACATATAAATTTATACAAATAATATTATTATTGCTTAAAATCATAAAAAAAATATTTAAATTCAAAAGCTTTCTATGTACTAAGTGGATTAATAATTACTTGACTTCACAACATGTAGCACCTGGTGTATTCTCCATATCCGCTGTATTCTCCAGATTTAGGTTCCAGTGACTACTACCTTTTTCCACACTTGCAAAGAAGGCTCAAGGGAAAGAGATTTACATCAAATAATGAAATGGAAGTGGTATGAAGGTATATTTAGGAGGACTTGATAAATCGCATTATTTAAACGGTAATTAAATGTTTAAAGATCGTTGCACTCGATCTATCAAGCTAAAAGGGCACTATATTAAAGCATAACATATAATTTTGCAAATAAATGTGTTTTTATTACTTAGACTGAGTATTTCTCAATTCAAATAGTAAAAGGTATGAAAGGTAATTTTGTTTATATTAAGCAACTGTTTTGATAAAGTCAGATATTTGATTTGCTTCCTGAAACTACCTAAATATTCATATTCAACAACATTTGAAACTTTTTTCTATTCTTGAGACTTAAATAAATTGGTGCTTGAAAAATTTTGCTTTCCTACTCAGGTTTAAAGTATATATGAAAGCTGTAAACGCCGTAATTTAAATGAAGTTATGAATTTATGTTAGATTGTATTGTTTAAATATTTAAAAAAAAACAAACCATTTAGAGATTATTTATATAAGTTCTCGTTATAAGACATTTTGAGCGATTGTACTAGTATATGGACTATTGATTTATTTAGTTGAATTCATTTTTTATTTTCATTATATTTGAAAATATAAACATACATATAATAATAATTATATATTAATAACATTTGTTAAGATGATATGTTCAAAATAATATTTTCTAATATAAATATTAAAATAGGCCACTTACTTGCTTCAAAAAAATCGTTCCTCCATTTATTTCTAGCGTAATTTTATTTAAAATATTTTTTTCATAAATTTGAATTAATCACACTTTTAGTAACTTTTTATTTAGGTTACACACAAATTAACACTTTTCTCATAATAACTATTTATTTTTAAATTATTATTATTTTTAACATATTAGCATAGAAATTATTCTACTGCATGAGATTTTATTAATTTCCACTAAATACACTGTACACTGATTTTACCCTAGCCAAGTCAATACCGTTTAACATTACTGTTATTCGTGGAATTTGTTGCTGTAAAACGAAACAAGCCAGAGCAAGTGAAGTAGAATATGTAAATTAAATTGATTGTTATAAATTGTTATTATAATTAGCAAAACAAAAGTGTGAACAATATAAAATATATAATTTTATAATCATATTTAAATATATTTAATATATAAACTTTTTTCTTAATAAAAACAAAAACTATTTATATTACACATTATTTATATGTTCACGTGTCTACTATTCTTACTGTTTGTTAGAAAGCCGAAAATGCACTGATCAACTGAATTAAAAGCTGTTAGGATTAACAAAAAACTGATAAGGCGGAATGATTTGATATTGGAACGGCATTTTGTAAGTATTTACAAGCAAAGGTGTAGAATTATTGCTTTTTTTCACCTTTATATGGATTAAAATTCATATACATATGTCACTTGTTCTGCTATTCCTTAATGTTTAGCAGAATCTCTGTTAATCTATATATGTAAACACATTAATGCAAGTGTTTATATATTATATTAGAGATATTGACACTTAATAATATTGTAATTTTAAATAATAAATACATATCAAATTTTATCACTTTACCGAGTTACCAATCAAATCTGAATACCAGTATTATTTCTATATTAAATTGTCTATATTATAATTTCTATTACTATTACTACATTTTCTAAATTTCTATATATAATATAATTTTGATTCAGTAATAAAGTAATATTATTATTGTTAGAGGATGTGGCACTGAGACAGTCCCTTTCTGGATTTAAAGTTGATCTTTAAGCCCTGTTGCGTCAGTAAAATGTAATACAGAACCCACTTTACAGAGTTTAATTGCCTCCTCCATTAAAATATACAATATTAGGAACCTATTCTGTATGTGTATTAGCGCAAAGCATTCTAATAGCACATATGTGTCCGACTCCTCATTCCCTTCACAGAATCTATAGTTTGCATCCATAAGTATACCTAGTCTTGTAAGGTGGTATTTTAGTTTACAGTGATATGTTAGGATTCCTGTGATGATTTTAAGTTTTTCTTTTAAAAAATTTATACAATCCTGGTATCTCTTATTGTTATAGGTAGCAATAAGTAATTTGGATTGTGTTAATTCTGGTATATTAGCCCAGAAATCCTTTTTATTTTGTTTCTCGTTTATTTTTAAGAGAGAAAGGAGCATAATATGTCCTAGCCCACAAAAAGGTTCCAGCCCCAAAGTAATTTCAACATAAATATTGCGGGAGAGTAGTCAGCACTGTTAATGATTATGTTAGACTATTATGTATTAAAACTGTAGAAAATCCTATTGAATGTTATACTTCTTTTTACATATAATTTAAAAAATCAAGTTTTCTTTATTATTTTTGTTTATTCCAAACATTAATAAATATCATAGATAATTTGGTTTACACTAAACTTAATAAAAAGTTAATAAAGCGTTTAAAGAGACATATAAACCTATTAAAACTATAAGCATTCTTAATTAATATAGAAAAATGAATCAATTTAACTGCATCTATTATTTTATGAATCTTTATATGTATCTACCTCTTAATAAGCAAATATCAAGAATAATAATATACAGAAATTTCATTACCATTGAACAGATTAAATTCACATCTGTATAAAATTGTAAATTTAAAATTTTTTCAAATTAAATGAAATTAAATAAATCAAAACTAAAAATGTACAAAACATTGATTCGCCCAGTAGTAACATATGGCTGCGATAAACTGAAACCGAAGCATATAGCATAGCAGTCTTTGAGAGAAAAATATTCAGCAAAATTATTTGCCCCGTGAACGAAAACGGGATGTATCGCATAATATACAACCACGAGGTAGAATGGCTAGCTGAAGGTGATACAATCAATAAATTTATAAAAGAGCAGCGATTAAAATAGGTTGGACATGTGATAAGAATTCCGGATATGAGAGTACCGCTTAAGATTTATGAGAACGAAGTAGGAGCCAGTAGAAGAAAAGTGCGACCAAAAAAACAATGGAAAGACAGTGTGCCACAGGACTTAGAAGTAATAAATATAAGAAATTAGAAAATAAAAACATAAAACAGAGAAAAATGGAAAACTGTTGTTAAACAGGCTTATGTCCTACATGGACTGCATAGTCACGGATGATGATGATGAAATTAAATTAAATTGTATATATAAAATTTAAAAATATTATACAATTTAATAAAATATAAATGTTTTTATATCATAAAATGATAAAATATTATAAAGGAAAAAAAATATATAAAATCACTGCCAACAGTAAATATTATTTATTTAAGGAGTACAATTTAGTGACAAAAAAAGTTTCGACAAAAAATATATTTTAATATAAATATCCCCCTCTCTTTGTATTCATACTTCCAATATATACACTCATA